CACAACTGGAGCTTTCGCTCCAAGCTGCGAGCTGTAGGCTGGCTGGCCCTGCCAGTAGATCTTTCAGTCGTGGAGGTTACCGCCCTAAAGGTTCCGTTGCTACGCTTTGTGAGACTCCTAGCGACCGTACTTGCAAGGGTTCAAGCTCGAATGAGGGAGCTCGCATTCGCAAACTTGCTTGCTTCTTGGGCAGACTTCATGAAGCCAAGCGGCTCCAACAGCATCCGGTTGCTGACTCGGCAACAGCGCTGTTACGGCGAAGATCCGAGCCACTTGGCCCTCGGACCTGCGTGCCAGCAGCATTGAGGAAGCAGTCCCCGAATGTGAGGCGATCATCACGAAGGTCCGTCAGCAGCGTCGGGATGCCAACCTCACTTCCTGGAGGGCAAGGATGGCACAAGGCGGGCGCGAGGCCACGCGGTGGCTCAAGAACAAGGCTGGGCTCCTCGCACCGGCTTTGCAGTACACTGTGCGCGGAGTCACCACCACGGCATCCTCGACTGCTGGTGCGCTCGAGTTGATTGTGGCCTTCTGGAAGGAAGTGTGGCGCCGACCGCTCCCTAAAGATCTCCATGAACAGCTGGACCGGATGTGGACTGAGCATGCGCCTCCCCAAGCTGCTTGGCCAGGCGACCAAGGGCCCCTGCAGGCGCATGAGTTGATGAAGCGAGCGAGGAGCCACTCCAAGGGCTCTGCCGGACCTGACGGCATTTCTGCTGAGAACCTTGCAGATATGCCGGTGCAGTGGTGGTCTTTGGACAGCGCAGAACAAATTTCCTGTGGCGTGGCGTGAATCACGCATGGTCCTCATCCCCAAAGACGAGGGGACCGGTGCTGCTGCGGAGGTTGCTCGCTTACGTCCCATCACAGTGTTCAACACCACGTACCGAGTCGTCGCTCCTACATGGACCGCTCGAGCTTGTGTGAGAGACTGGCTGCCTCAGGTGTGCCCTCCCTACTTTCACGGAGGCATCGCAGGCCGCAATGCTTGGCAGGCACTCAGACACATCGAGGCCTCGTGGGACGAGGAGGCCATCTTGATTTCGTATGATTTCGAGAAGTGTTTCGACAACGTTGCCCCTTCTCTCGCGTTGGACAACTTGCGCAGACATGGTTGCCCAGAAGACTTTTTGAAAGTTGTGGCCTGGACCTGGTTAGAGCAGCGACGATGGATCCAGTACGGTAGCTTCGTTCATCCTGAGCCACAGCAGGTGTCGTCGTCGTTGCCGCAGGGATGCCCTGCTTCGCCGCTGGCCCTCACGGCTCTGCTCTTAGCGCCTGCGACACGGCTCCAACAGCTGATGGGCGAGGCTCTTAACCAGTCTATCTTTGTCGATTGACAGGACCGCGGTGACGAGGTCAGCTGAAGACACTGAACGTGTCATCGGGTTTTGGGCTGCTGCTGCTCAGGCTCTCGGCCTTCAGGAGAACCAAAGCAAGCTGAAGGTTGTTACGCGGAGTGCCAGGCAGCGACAGTTGCTGCGTGAAAAAGGCATACAGCCTTCGGCTGAGGCCGCTGTTCTCGGCACTCCCTTTCGTGAGGACGGCCTACTTGAGGTGGCGGGCCCACGGCTCGACAAGTTTCAGGCTCTGCTTCGACGGCTCGGGTGTCTTCCTGTAGTCTCTTGCGTTAAGCATCGCTTGTAGTATAGTACTGTAATCATACCACAGCTGCTGTGGAGTTTTTGGTGGAGTCCTTGCTCCGCCGCCGACTTACAGGACCAGCAAAAGCTCACAACTAACGTGAAACGTGCCTTGGATGTTGTACAGCAAGGGTCCAGGGATTTGTGGTTGCTTCTTGCTGGTCATTGGATGGATGTTGGTTTTGCACTTAGACTGGCGTCGGCCTCAGCTTTCTTTGCGGCTGACGCCTTTTGGCGTGGACAGGGCCGTCGACTCGTCATAGGACGCTGGGGACAGTCCGTTGGTTCTTTTCTTCAGGAGCTCCAGTTTACCAGGACCGGAGCTCACGCTTGGCAACATGCTGTGGCAGGGGCCTTTGACCTGTCGGCAGGTGACTTGCCTGCCCGAAATAAGGCGCGACACTTGATGCGAGAGGCCTGGCGTCGTCAGCGCTATGCTTCTTTCTTGCGAGGGCAACGGCATGAACTCGACGACCTCATCCCCGACGATGAGGGCTACAGCGAGACCGTACTCAAGGCGGCCATCAAGCTCGACAACGGCGCCTCCAACGAGGAGCGCCGCGTGATGCTCGGAGGATGTGTGAGTGAAGAACAGTATGCACGGATGCATAAACTGCCTCCTCAAGGTGCTGGATCTTTTTTTTTCCTTCGGTGCACGCTGTGTGGTCGTACAGGGGTTCCCAACTGGTGGCATGCTGCGTGGTGCTGCTCATATTTTGCTTCCTCCCGCCCGGCGACTCCGACATCGTCGTGGGCCTGGAGGTTGGGCTGGCCGCTTCGTGGTGAGCGGCACGCAGATGTTCGTGAGCGTCTTCGGCATCTTGGTCTTGTCCGAGCTGCTGTTCGAGGTCGGTTTGGGTTTCGGCCTCCTGGGCGTCGCCAGCTGGATGTGACGTGAATCAGAGCGCTTTTGGCTCATAGGGGTATTTGACAGACCGCAACTACCTGTCAACCTGGTACAGCTGGCCCTCAGGCAAGCTTTCTGTTTTGGTGAGGCCTTCGGGCCCTCTTCGTCCAGGAGTGCCGTTGGTGCCTCGGTGCCAGGTGCTTTGAAGACGTTAAACCTTCATCAATACTGCCATTAATGCGGCCATCGGGCATATGATCGCTTCGGTGCCAGCATCCCAGACCATGGACATGTACAATGCCTTGAACAAGTTCAACCTTGGCAAGGATGTGGGCCCTTACATGAGCTACCATGACAACGCCTCCAGTTCTATGAGCACGGCGGTAGCGGGCACTGAGGTTTCGGCCAAGGGAGCGAAGTTGTCCAGCTGGGAAGCGAGTGGCTTCTGCTTGGGTTGGCAGAATGCCTCTTGCTGGCTCGATCGTTTGCTCACTGCCTGGTACCGTGTTCTAGATCAGATGTGGAGTCCCTATGGGACCTTCTTCTTCATGCTGTCGGGGCTGGGCGAGATGGCCTCGTGGTTCTGGCGTCTATGGCGCCCTTGGCGGTGGAGACCGAGTCGGCAATCCTCTGCTGATTCGGAGAAGAAGTTGGAAAATTCGAATGCCTGGAAAGGCAAATGGCAGATGCTCAGGAGATGTGCTGCTGGTGGGCGGCATGTGCATCAGTGGGGCCCTGGAAGGCGAAAGAACACCTGCCGTGCGGGATGGCGGGCGATCTTGAGAGAGCTCGTGAAGCAGAGCGTCGACGCCTTCGTTGGTCTCGACCGAGGACTGGTATGGTCAGGCGCTTGAAGCATCAGCTCTCTCGCCGCAGTGCTACATGGCTATAGTGCAGCAAAGGATCTTATGCCCGAGGGTTCATGGGTTGGGAGGTCCTGACCTGTCTAGCTGTAGGAGTGGGTTTGGTAATTGTGGTGATGTTTGTTCCTTTCGCTCGGGACCTCACTTCTCATCAAATATAGGCGCGGCTGCGGGTTAGTCCGTCGCCTTAGTTTGCCCTTGCGGGACAGGGCCCCAGAACCTGGAAGAAACGACAAGACCCGCTCGAGGGCCAAGAGAACTCATCAAGAAAATTCGAAGACCCTTTTGGGCAATCAAGATGCCGAGCGAGACTGTGTCTCAGGCACCTCCACCGGCCCTTCTGGGCCTAGGCCTCTTAGTTCCCTGTGCTGCCATGGCTGCTGTGAAGGTCAACCTGGCGCAACTCAAGGTCGGCGCCGGCGCGTCCCTGGGCGAGGAATTCGCTCAAGTCGCGCACGATGGTTTGGTTTGCGCACAGTACTGCTTTGCTGCAATATCTGGAGCTGTGGCCATGGCGCTTTTGATTTTGATCGTGCAGCTGGTGCACCTGCCTCTGGTGTTTTTGCTGGCTGCGATTTCAGTTTCGAGTTCAGTGGTGCCTACGTCACCATGCACAATTTTGAGATAAGCTGGGACTGCAGCGTTGAGAGTTTTTCAGGGTTGGATGCCGGAGGGTTCAATGATTGGTCCCGTCGAGGGCCTTATGCCGGAGTCAGGGTGGGCGAAGCTTCTCATCCAGGGCCTGGAGGTGCTAGGAGAACTGCCAGGAAGCGACGACAGGCTTTGCTGCAGGCTGTTCGGGACTTGGGCCCGAAGCAGATCAGGGCATTTCTTGCTCCGCTGTTACAGGAATTGATCCAACCAGCCACGGCCTCTGCTCCGAGTCCAGGTTGGCGCCAGAAGAACGACTCATGCAACTCGTGGCAAGGCGGGCAAGGCTGGGGAAACTACAACTCCAGTTGGTCCGATTGGGACAGTAACTCTGCTACTCATGCTCCTTGGGCTCAGTATGGCTGGGATGCGCATGATGAGGAGTGGGATGCTGATTCAGGGACTCCGTGGTCTGGCTGGGACACTTCGGCTGCTCCTTGCTGGGCTGACGCTTGGGATGATAAAGCTGCTGGGGCCCGCGCCGGGCACGCCGTCTCGTACTACGACTTTCCTAAGAAGCAAGCAAAATCACAGGAATGGGAGGCGGGTGCATGGGAAGTGCCCCACGCCGCTGCCAGGGCGGTCTTGATCCGAGGTCGCAAGCGCTGGCCGACATCGCGGACGACACCGACGAGAAAACCTCTTATCCTCTTCCTCTTGCTGCGGCTAAGCAGAAGGATCGGTGGCCCCAAGCGCTGGGCCGACATCGCGGACGACACCGACGAGAAAACCTCTTATCCTCTTCCTCTTGCTGCGGCTAAGCAGAAGGATCGGTGGCCCCAACCACGCGGGGCTCAAGCTGCAGGTACCGAAGCTCGTTTAGGTGCTGACGATCAGGCTCCTTGGGTTCTCAAAAGGGATTTGTGGCAGTCCGCAGGGCCTTTCGCCTTTGCCGATACCGCCTATGACCTTAGTGGCATCTTGGACTGCACGGCCGGAGTTGCCATCTTGGCCGTGGCCCCTAGTCTGCAAGAGGCTCAGGAGATGTAGGAAATCATGCAGGGGGCCCAGAGCGAGCCGGATGGGCCCGATAATTCCCTCACCCTGCTTTGTGATGCTTGCTGGGGCAGCGCACTTTGGTCGGACGAGGTCCAAACAAAGGCTGTCTCGCTGCCTGTGCCCGGCCACCAGGCTGGAAAGCTTAGGCACTTGAAGCATTGGGTGTTGACCACGGGAAGTGATCCGCCAAGCCTGTCCACTCGACAGGAGGGCACTTTTACGGTCCGTAAGCCTCCGCCCTCTATCGAGACTTTGCGCGCCAGTACGTTGCTTCTTCGCTTTACTTGCGACCGCGCCTATGGGAACACTCCCTGGACAGATGTGCTTAAGCAACCTGGCAAGTTCGCTAGGATGTGGGCCAACAAGCAAGGAGGACAGTGTCGATACTTTCGGATTCGGGGTTCAGGGCCAAGCGAGGCTGAGCGGTCTTGTCAGGGTCAAGACTTCCGACTGTGCCAAAACACTATGGCAAGCGTCGGGAGCCCAAGCTGGAGGTGCTGTCTTTTTCGTTGATTTGGTTGGCGAAGCAAAGGGCCTTGCTGAGAGCTGTGTTCGCGATAAGATGAACTCTTCCGAGACTTACGCCGAGTTCCACAGGCGTGCATGCCAAGGCGCTGCCCATGGCGTGGTCTTGGGCACAGGCCTTGGCAGGAGAATGCGGGCTTCTGACCCGAACTATCAAGCCAGTGCTATTTCCTGGAGAGCAAAGGCCATTCCTAGCCATTATGGCATGGCTGACGTGGCCACCTTGCTGGAGGGCTTATTACTTAGGCTTTCAGGACGTTCAGATCGTGGCAGCTCATATACGGCGTGCCACGGATTGGTCATTCAAGGCCACTAGGCTTGACGGCCGGGGCATGCTCCAGCGGCACGTGGATTGGGGGGCCGGCTCTGAGTCGGAGTTGGTCATCGTCCGCGAAAACAGCCGGAGAGGTGGTTCTGCGCAGCCTTTCGTCCCGATCGCCAATCGCAGATCTACGACTTTTGGTGAATTTGCCGCTGGTCAGCCGGGTAAAAAACCACGTGGTCGCCGAGCTCAGGCGGCCAACGGCGACGCCAACAAGCAGTCAGATGGTGACACACGTGGCGTGAAAAGAGCCTGCTCTGACACCAAAAGCGACATGACTGTTGACAGCGAAGGTAACTCTACGGCCCCCTGGGCCCCACTGGCCAAGGTCCTTCCGAATGAGGGAGAAGGCAACTGTTTCTATCATGCAATTGCTATGTGCAACCTGGGGGACAAGCCAAGAACGCACAGGCAGATGCGACGCTACACACAGCACTGCATGAAGCAACAGGAAGCTTCTCTTCGCCCGATGTGGGAAGCCGCTGGTGCTCACAATACTCTTGGACGTCCGGCTCGCCTCTCCTGGGCTGAGTTCCTTGACGAGGTTGGCACCAATTAATGCCAATTGGGGCGGATGCCTGGAGCTCGTGAGCGTGGCAGTCGATCTTTCGCTACGTGCGTGGGTGCATACATCAAGTGGAGCTCTGCACCTCTTGAACCCCGAGGGCACTCAAGGATTTATGCTACTCCGGTACGATGAGACGCGCGAGCATTGGGAGGCGTATGAGCAGACGGAGCCTGAAGCACACCTTCAGCAGCGATATGCTGAACTGGGAGGGAAAACCTTTGACTACAAGGAGCATCTCTATCGGGGCGGCGGCTTGCTCACGGATTGTGCTTCGGCTGTGTCTGAGGTTCTCCCCTCTCCTCGCCCAATGCGCAGGAGGCGCATTACACTTTCGGACTTTGCTTCTTCGACTGGGCCAAGGCTTGATCGGCAGCTTGGATGTCCTGCTAAAGCTCACAGGACTCTTTCTGACTTTGCCTCAGATGACGAATCGTTGCTGAAACAGGTGCCCGCACATCACAGCCATCAGCAGCCCCGAAAGCAACCCCCCCCTTCTCGAGCCGAGATTGGGGGGGTTGCCTTGGGCCCATTTCATGACGAATCGTTGCAGCTAGCGCCTCGCCCTGACACCAAGCATCCTCTTTGTGATGATGCTGGACATGCTGATGATCCGCAATGGAGTGCTCAGCAGGAGGGCCTGTACTCCGATCTTTGCGACATCGTTTTCGACGAGAAGCTGCTGGTTAATCTCCCTGCCATGGCCATGCGCATCCATGCGACACTTAGTGGATCTCTGCCGGGGGATGCGTTGGATGCTGTCGTTGACCGGGCTGTGGCCGAGATGACTTTGCTCCAAGGTCCAAGGACATCCCGCTGCAGAGCCGTGGACAGTGTGCCAGTTCGAGTTCTTGCGTAAGGTGCTTGGTGATGCTCGTGGTAAGCAGCCTAAGGTCCATTCTTGCAGTGCTTGGCCTTCTCCTGCTGATCTTCGCATGCTTCAAAGCGCCACGAGCTCCTTTCAGGGGACTTCCAGTGCAGCAGTTGTGCGCCGGTGCACGGTCAAACCAACTCGTCGTCGGCTCCGCGGCAAGACTGCGTGGGTCACTTTGGCTGGTGCAGCGGCTCCTTCCCGGGCACAAGACCTCCCGGATGTCAGCGAAGCCGGTGGAGATAGCGTTGTTGCGGCGGGACCCCCTTCGTCTGCTCTTTCCGCTTATCGTGCCCGGGGCACGCAGTTCGCTTTCAAGAAAGGGTTTTACTGCGTTGAGTGCCCTTACTGCGATTCTCCTGTGACTGCTACCGCCGCTAACCGGGTTGCACAGGCGAGATGGGATCACATCAATCGCTATCACTCTGGCATGCCGCAGGTTGGATATAGGCGCTGTCGTCCGTCATTCTGTGAGTATCGGCGTGCTGACCGCGATGATATGTGGTGGACTTGTCCGGTTGCGCGCTGTCGTCAGGCCATTGCGAAACATGAGGCTGCTAAATTCTCGAGCCGTACCCTTAAGACTGCCATTGCGGATCACCGTCAGGCTCGCCATCCTGATGTTCATGCTAAAGCTTGGCGGGTCTTGCGCATGAAGCAAGGCTTTGAGGCCCCTGCTTTTCGTCAGAAATGCCGCATCACCCTCCTCAATGCTTCAGCTACCGGGGACTCAGTTGAGATGCGACGCCTCGGCTACAGCATGCTCTTGCTTCCCACCTTGGTGAAGCGCCGCCGCCGGTGCATCCAACGTCTCTCGCTGAAGAGGTTCTGGCAGTGTGAACAATGCCGCACGATGTTCGGTTCGGTTCCAGCTGCTAAAAAGCATAGGTGTCGTTACGCTGTCGGACTGTTTTGGGTGGGGTCCTTAAAGGGCTTACACAAAATTGCCATATTGTCCAGACTCTCGCTTCAATGTGTACAGCTTGAGCTACAGGAGGCCCAGCGCGTTGCGGCGGTGACTGTGGGCACCTTCGAGCCGACTCTTTTTGCCACTGTCTATGGCTTCGCCAATGACGCTCCTAGGACCAAGCCATTGGTTCATGAGCTTGTTTCCCAGCTTCATGGCGCGGGCCACCCTTGGGTGCTCTTGGGGGACTTCAACTTAGAAGCCGAGGACCTTGAGGAGTTTTTTGCCACAGGCTTGGCGCATTGCTTGGACGAGCCCTTTGAGTGTGAGGACCTTCCTCCAACGCGGTCCCCGGGTAAGCGTCGCATTGACTTCCCAGACCCCCGGGCGGATCTACTTTCTAGATCCACCTTTGGTCGCGGATCCACTTTTGTACAGGGGGTTCCAGTTTTTGACATGTCGATGCAAAATGGAGTTCTCAAGAATTCTTTGACAAAAACAGCCACAATGCGCCACGACGGCTCTGCTCGTGATAACTCGGCATTTTGGCTCAATGAGAGTGCGAAAAGCAGAAAAGCGACCCTAAAACCCTAGAGTCCTTAACTTCCTTAAACATCGAAACCCAAAGCCCGAATATTCAAAGAGAGACTGCTTCCCGGAAGAAAACACCCATAGTCGGGGGCTGACGGCTGGCAATCTTTGTCTAGCTATTCTTTCAAACACTATACAGCAAAATACCACATTACTGTGAAGTTAGTTTTACATACTTATAGTTAGTTCGTTGGTTGGTTGGTTGGCTAGTTAGTTAGTTAGTTAGTCTTTTGGATCCAGAGTTTGAACCCACCTCCGCGTTGTATTCTTGCATTCTACTAACTGGATCCATGTATTCGGGCCTTTACGATGTCCAAGCGCCTAAACCCGAAAACCAACCTTATACTCTTTGATGAATCCTCCCGCCTGAAACGTGCGCCCAGCCTGCTAGGATCTAGAATCTCGTTGCAGTGCTACAATCTGCTACTTTTGGATCCACAAGTACATCCTCCTGCGCTGCATTCTTGCATTCTATTAACTGGATCCTATATTTCACACTGTACATATACTGTGTTATATAGGAATATATAGTACCTTCATTTATATAAAAAATACAACAATATAATTCATATACTTTATAACCTGTATATAGATTGGTATAAACAGATAGACATACAGGACATAGCTGGATCTAGATTTACAAATTGGTGGCTTTACTTTGCAGGCCTGAGCAGCCCGCCAGGGGTTTTTAAAACGAGCAGCCGTCACTTTCGCAAAACCGCAAAAACCCTGATGTGGTGCTCTTCGAATGGCAAAACGTACCAAAGTCCTCATCGTCGAGTCGCAACGTACCAAACCACCGATTTAGTGGTACATGTGCTGATCTACCAACCGGAGGCACTGCGAAGAGCAAAGCTAGACAATGAGGTGTCGAAGTAGATCCCCGATGAGCCCCCCGATGAGCCCCGTAGGATATGATAAGTGCTGTCTGCTCCTTTAAGTAAGCAACGCAGACAATGAGGTATCAAACTAGATCCCCGATGAGCCCCCCAATGAGGTGTGATGAGGTGTTAGGAGCGCAAAAGATACCCAAAGTCATGCTATTTAGACCACTTCTTGCTAGTGTTGCGATCACGCAGAGTCAAGGATAAGGTTTACGGGTTTTGGGGATATAGGGTAAGGGCTTAGTCGTTTGGGTGTAAGGGTTATAGGGCTCAGGGATGTTTAGGGTGAATGGTTAAGGCTAGGGTTTGGGAAAGGTTTAGGGAGGGTTTAGGGGCGTTTAAAGTAGGTTGAATGTTTCGGGTTTTCTGGCGATAGAAAATCCCAAAACTTACAGCGAATCCTCAAGACCACAATTTCGGACACAATAGACCTGCAATTACATAAAAACTGACCTAATCTGTTGGCCCCAAAGACCCAAAGAAATATCAACATCTCGGAATCCGCTACTGTTGCACGAAGTGCTCTTTCAACCTTGGGGCCTGAGGCATTCAGCTCAAGTTATGTGTTCTGGTCGGGCATTTCCGTATGAAACAGGATTTGCCGGATTCCTACTCCCCAACCCCCGATCGATCGATCGATATATATATATATATATATATATATACATACGTACATACATATACATATATATATATATATATATATACATACACCTCAAACCCAACACACCCGAACCCCGACCCCCCGGAACGAACCACCCGCGCAAGATGCTAAGAGCGTGAGCGACGAGAGGAGAGTAAGGAGAGACTAAGTAGTTTGGCTTAACACCAAATTATTTTGGCTCAAACACCATGAGCATCAGACTTTCAGCGATATTCATTATCGCCGTGCCAAAGTCACCGAACTAGTTGAAAATAACGATACTGAAACGTGCAAGTCATACCAACTGCTTGCCGCCGCCACCTTTTGGACTACAAACCAGAAGACTGTGCCGCGTAGTAAATTTCCTAGTTAAATTTCTGGGCGTCTGCTTTTTTTGCTCAAATTGTAGGTTTCGTTGCCGCACCAAAAAGTGATCGCGGATCCACATTTAGTGGAGTGGTTCTACTTCGGACACGCAAATGGCGGATCTACTTTTTGGATCCGGCCGGGGGTCTGGGTTTGGCATTGCGCATGCTAGACATGCAACTCGTCTTTCTCATCGTCATGGTGTTGCCGACCACCTGCTTGTGGCGTACGACATCCCGAGTGGGCCCACGGTGCTCACACATGCTGGCCCTAAGCGTGCATCCGTTCAGTCTGAGGCGATCCTTCCGGACCATGAAGTCCAGAGTCGATGGGACGGGCTGTGGTCTGACGAGGCCTTCCAGCAGGCGTTGGACAACCCTGACGTCAACCACTCCTGGTCCTACACTTCGGACGTTGCTGAGGCTGTTTTGGCGGAGCCCTCTTCTGCTACTTTGGCCAGGTCGGCAGCTTGGAAACCTGTTCCCTGCACAGGCGGCCATCGGGCTTTGAGTTTTCCTGAAACGGTGGTCTTACGTCGACTTCGGCGCCTCCTTCGCAGACTGCGACAGCTTTCACGGGAGACCAACCACTGGCACCTTCTGTCGCGGGTTCGTCGTGATGTTGGCTCCTTGGCTCGCGACCTTCCTGCTCTCCAAGGATCGCATGATGATTGCTCGCGCAAGTCAGCAGCATTCATTGACCTTGTTGCCGGTGTGGTCTTGGAGAGGGCCGCGCAGGAGCAGCATGATTGGAGGGTGCAGTGGAAAGCGCGTATGGTCCAGTCTGAACAGGCGCGTTTGAAGTGGCTCAAAAAGAAGCGGGAGGACTACCGGGCCTATACTCGACTTTGCGCGTCGGGTGTTGATCTGAAGGCCGTGGAGTCCTGTCATCCTGTGAGTTTGCTTCAGAAAGCGCAGAAGTATTGGAGCAGAACGTGGACGCGGGGCATCATCGACCCTGATGGCTATGATGCGCTGTTGGCTCAGGTACCTCGCCCTGCTGGCGCTCCTTTTGACGGAGTCTTCTATGCCTCCGAGCTTCGGGATGCCTGCAAAGGCATGGTTGGCAAGGCTTCAGGCCCTGATGGCTGGAGCCCTGATGCTCTAGTTCGGTTACCTATTGCGTTTTGGGAGGCGGTTGCCACTGTCTGGGCGCGCGTGTTGGCCACCTCACAAGTTCCACAACGGTGGAGCGAGGCTAGGGTGGCTCTCATTCCTAAGGCCGGCACTGATGAGTTCAGACCCTTGAGCATTGTTCCTCCTTGTGGAGGTTGGGGGCTAGATGCCTAGTTAAAAAGCTGGAGCAGTGGTCCTTGCAATGGCTCAATCACACGGTGCTGGGGGGAGTGACCCGAAGTGGGGTGATGGACGCCCACCTCATGCTGCACGCAGACATGGGAGACAGCGTCTATACTGCCCAGGATCTCCACCACTTCTTTGACATGCTCGATTACTCATTGTTGAAGAAGAACCTCCAATGGCTTCGGGCTCCTGCTTCGGTTGTTGCCTTGATGGACAGCTTCTACTCGCAAGGACAACGTGTTCTGTCGTTTGCTGGCAGCCTCGGATCCTCTCTCTTACAGCCCCAGCGGGGCCTGCTGCAAGGATGTCCGATGTCTCCTTTGCTCAGTGCCACGTTCATGTTGGTGTGGTCAACACAGGTGCAAACGAGCCGTGTGAAGGCGGTGAGCTATGTCGATGATCGCACGATATGGTCTTCGATCCGAGGCTCTCTCCAGGACACTGAACAGGAGCTTAGTCAAGCCTATCACCGGAGTGCGCGCTTTGATCGCTGCTGTGGCTTTTCATGCCGTGCCACCAAGTGCCAGTTGGCAGTACCGAGCCGGTGTGAGCTGCAGGTCCTGGATAAGGTTTGCGGTTATAGGGTTTCCTCTTCGCTTAAGTGCCTAGGCTTTCAGCATGATGTTGATACTGGTGAAGCAAACTTCCCGAGTGACGTGATGGAGGAGGTCAGGATTCGAGCACGCAAGATCGCCGCCCTCCCGTGCAGTCCGGCGAAGCGTGCTTCGCTATTTCGTGTGACTGCGCTTCCCACTTTCATGTGGGCAGCAGGTGTGACCAAGTATCCCGCTGACTTTTTGGGCAAGGTTCGCGATGAGCTTGCAGCTGTGCTCAAACAGGGATGCTGTGTCGACACGCCAAGGATGGTCGCTCTCGAACTGCTCGGCTGGGATTGTGATCCTTGCTTCGCGGCCTCGTGGCGCAGCTTGATGGCCGGCTTTCGTTATCACTGCCGACAGTTTTGGTGGGTGGATACGGCCCCTCTCGACTTCACGCTGAAAAAGTGGCCTAAGCTTTTCCCTGGTGCCAGAGAGGTTCTGCAGAGACTAGGCTGGTGGCCTTCGGCTGATGGGGGGCAGTTCCATCGTGTGGATGATGCTGGCCTCACTCGCACTTTTCATGTTGGCTTCGACTCCTGGCAGGTCGTGCGAGCTTGGTTGATAGATGCTTTCAGGCTGGACCTCGCGCAGCGCAACGGCCGCTTGCAGCGACCACGGCGCAGGGAGCCTTTGCCTGACCTTGCGCAGGGGCTTGACCTTCCTGCGCCCCCTGCTGGGCGGTATCTTCTTCAAGGCCATCGGCAGCTGTTTGCCAGGGCTACGAGGAGGCGGGAGGAGCATGCGGCCCTCACTACTGGATGCAGCGTTTGGTTTGAGTTCGCTGGCTCGCGCTTTACGGCTGAGGACCCTCGCGCTGCTTGTATGTGTGGAGATCGCATGCCATCCAGAGCTCATCTGTGCTGGAGTTGCCCTTCAACAGTGGCGCTGAGACGTTCGATTGCACCTCCGGTGCATACTGCGCAGGAACGGCTTTTCGCAGTTCCGTTACCTGAGCTTCCCGCTCCTCCACCTGTCCTGGGAGCTGAAGAAGTTCGCGAGGAGCTGGCTTCAGTGGTCTTGCGAGGACTGCTTGACGGTTCTGAGGTCTTTTTGGCCACTGACGGCTCAGAGAAGGACGATGTTGCTGCCTGGGCAGTTGTCGTGCCGCAAGCAGACAGATGCTTCAGCGGCCCGTGTGAAGGACAGGATCAGTCTGCTTTTTTAGGGTGAGCTCGAGGCCTTTCGTGCGGTCTTGGCACCGTTGGCCAAGTTGGTTCCGCAGGCGAATCTTTCTCCTGGCGCAAGGCTTTGCATTGTGTCCGATTGCCAGTCGGCCATCGAGGTCGCTACGACTGGAAGGGCCTCTTGCCCTCTTCTTGCTCGTGAACTTCATGGCTTTGTCTGTGCACTGGCTCCACACCTTGCCGTTGACTTCCAGTGGGTGCCGAGCCACGACAAGGTCAGGACGGCCTTTAAGCCCCACCCCCGTGTTCCTGAAGGCGCTCTTCGGGATTGGAATGCTCAAGCTGACGCGGCTGCGAACGCTGCTCGTGCTGCTGCATCGAGACGTTGTCATCGACCTCACTGGCATCGTCAGCGCCGTGATGCGTTGCGATGGGAGACCGAAGCTCTCACACTGCTGGTTGCTGCTGGAGATGCCTATGAGGAGCATGTCACTGCCCTCAAGGCACGCCTGGCATCGTAGTGCTCTGGAGTTGGGGCGTTTAGCAAGCTCTCGAGCTCATGCTGGCGTCCGACAAAAACTCCAAGGGCCCTTACATGATGTCCAAGGTAGATGCGGCGGATGCCAAGGCAGCTTACCAGGCATTGATGGACTTCAAGGATGTGGTCAAGGCGTCCCAGCGCTGAGCCTTCTTTTGATCCTCTTGAACATCGAGTCGTGCAGGGGTGAGCGCGGCGGCGCCCATCCGATTTAAAGACTTGATTTGATTTTGTTGATATTTTCTTAAGGGCCCACTGGGCTCTCCGAGCTCTTGCCCGTGGCTGGCAGTCAGCCGCGACACGTGCGCGACATCTTTAAACTTGCCGGCGGAAAGGCTCGAGTCTCCCGTTCAGTGCGTAACAGAGACCGTCCAGCGAAAGCGGTGTGTCCCTGGAAGCAAAAACCATGCCGGAAGCCCCAGAGACCCGGACAGACCCAGCAGAACTCCCCTCCGAAACAAAACAAAAAAACAGTCCAGACACAGGTCTCCTCAGGGCGCGGCGTCCACCGGCGAGACTCTCTGAAGGCAGGGCGGCAGGGAGATGGATTGGACTCCTGAGCGGTTTCTTAGTTTTTTTTGCGAATGTTGGGGCTGTTGCGAGGGTTTTGAGATCATTTGCAGCTTTGGAGGGGCTTGGGGGTCTTGAGTTTTGCGTGCATGCGGAGGTTTCGCGATGTTTTCCTCAGCTTTAGGTTTTCAACTCACAGAATCTCGCTGCTCCGAAAACGGATCCGCAGCGATGTAGGAGCCAACTGATACAGTAGGTGTGTTCCCTTGCTCCTGCAGAGTGGCTATATGCCTAAGCGGCTATATACGGGGCCAAAGACCCAGACAGGCCCAGCAGACCCCCTCCCTCCAAAGAAAAAACATTCCACACACAGGTCTCCTCCGGGCGCGGCGTCCCAAAGGCGAAAGAACTTCAAGCCTCACTGAAGGCAGGGAGATGGATTGGGCTCCTTGGGTTTGTTAAGAGTAGTTTTACGGATGTTGAGGCTGTTGAGAGGCTTTTGAGATCTCTTTTGGCTTTGGAGGGGCTTGGGGGTCTTGAGTTTTGCGTGCATGCGGAGGTTTCGCGATGTTTTTCCTCAGCAAGGTTGCAACTCAAAGAATCTCGCCGCTCCGCAAGCGGATCCGCAGGCGTTTAGGAGCCAGATGATGCAGTAGATGTGCTCCCTTGCTTCTGCAGAGGGGGGGCTATCGCGAAGTTCGCGTGCCTATGTCAGTCGCATAATTACCCCTGGCATCACCATCGCATACCCCTTGGACGGTGAACCGCAAAACGCTTGTGCTACAGTTTTGCTAGCTGTGCCACCCTCGCCAGGTTGGTGTGGGCTGCTGGCGGCCCCGCCCCGCGACTGTCTTCAGTTCCTTGTGTCCGGGCCCTTGTCAGTGTGGACAGATGGTCAATGAGTAAGGGGGGAAGGGTGCCTGCATTCAGCCTTGCTGCTGAGGCCCATCGGGCGAGGGGTTGGCTGTTAGGCTTTTAGGCTCGAGATCAGAGGCATTCAGAGAGCAGGACGAGAGACCACAGACGGCAAGCTATGGCGAAGGCTGTGCGCGTGATTTCGATCTTGGCCGTGGGAGTTTGCTTCTGCAGCCTCCCGGCCTTCGTGCCGGGGCCTGCTCGCCCAGCTCGCAGCATGGCGCCCGCAGCTGCAGGAGCACTGAGCATGCTGGGCGCAGCGCCTGCTTTCGCGGACAAGATCGACGACGCAGCAAAGGTCCTGTCCGAGAAGTCTTATCCCTTCTTGAAAGAAATCGACTGGACCTCCGACGTCTATGGCAAGCTCCCCACCCAGCCTCCTCTGGAGGTGCTCAAGGCCATCAACACGATGTTGAAGATGGGTGCGTCCATGGACTCCGCAGCTCTGAAATCGGGTGCTCTGGCTCACAGCCAGGCCATTGCCAACATGGACTCCAAGGGTGTCGCGACTCTTGCCGATTATACTGCCATTAATGCGGCCATCGGGCATATGATCGCTTCGGTGCCAGCATCCGAGACCATGGACGTGTACAATGCCTTCAACAAGTTCAACCTTGGCAAGGATGTGGGCCCTTACATGATGTCCAAGGTAGATGCGGCGGATGCCAAGGCAGCTTACCAGGCATTGATGGACTTCAAGGATGTGGTCAAGGCGTCCCAGCGCTGAGCCTTCTTTTGATCCTCTTGAACATCGAGTCGTGCAGGAATGAGCGCGGCGGCGCCCATCCGATTTAAAGACTTGGTTTGATTTTGTTGCATATTTTCTTAAGGGCCCACTGGGCCCACCGAGCTCTTGCCCGTGGCTGGCAGTCAGCCGCGACACGTGCGCGACATCTTTACACTTGCCGGCAGAAAGGCTCGAGTCTCTCGTTCAGCGCGTAGCAGAGGCCGCCCAGCGAAAGCGAGTGTCCCTGAAAGCAAAAAACCATGCCGGAAGCCCCAGAGACCCAGACAGACCCAGCAGAACTCCCCTCCGAAACAAAACAAAAACAGTCCAGACACGGGTCTCCTCAGGGCGCGGCGTCCACCGGCGAGACTCTCTGAAGGCAGGGCGGCAGGGAGATGGATTGGACTCCTGAGCGGTTTCTTAGTTTTTTTTGCGAATGTTGGGGCTGTTGCGAGGGTTTTGAGATCATTTGCAGCTTTGGAGGGGCTTGGGGGTCTTGAGTTTTGCGTGCATGCGGAGGTTTCGCGATGTTTTCCTCAGCTTTAGGTTTTCAACTCACAGAATCTCGCTGCTCCGAAAACGGATCCGCAGCGATGTAGGAGCCAACTGATACAGTAGGTGTGTTCCCTTGCTCCTGCAGAGTGGCTATATGCCTATGCGGCTATATACGGGGCCAAAGACCCAGACAGGCCCAGCAGACCCCCTCCCTCCAAAGAAAAAACATTCCACACACAGGTCTCCTCCGGGCGCGGCGTCCCAAAGGCGAAAGAACTTCAAGCCTCACTGAAGGCAGGAAGATGGATTGGACTCCTTGGGTTTGTTAAGAGTAGTTTTACGGATGTTGAGGCTGTTGAGAGGCTTTTGAGATCTCTTTTGGCTTCGGAGGGGCTTGGGGGTCTTGAGTTTCGGGTGCATGCGGAGGTTTCGTGATGTTTTTCCTCAGCAAGGTTGCAACTCAAAGAATATCGCTGCTCCGAAAGCGGCTCCGCAGCCATTGAGGAGCCAGATGATGCAGTAGATGTGCTCCCTTGCTCTATCGTGAAGTTCAGGTGCAGTTGTCAGTCGTATACCCCTGGCATCACCATCGCATACCCATTTGATGGTGAACCGCAAAACGCTTGTTGCGTAGTGTGGGGTACAAGGATGGGCTCTGTTTCGGTAACCACCCATGATACAGTTTTGCTAGCTGTGCGACGCTCGCCAGGTTGCCGTGGGCTGCTGGCGGCCCGGCCCGGCGACTGTCTTCAGTTCGTTGTGTCCGGGCCCTTGTCAGTGTGGACAGATGGTCAATGAGTAAGGGGAGAAGGGTGCCTGCATGCAGCCTTGCTGCTGAGGCCCATGGGCCGCATTGGCTTTCAGGCTTTTCGGCTCGAGATCAAAGGCATTCAGAGAGCAGGTTGAGGGACCACAGACGGCAAGCTATGGCGAAGGCTGCGCGCGTGATTTCGATCTTGGCCGTGGGAGTGTGCTTCTGCAGCCTCCCGGCCTTCGTGCCGGGACCTGCTCGCCCAGCTCGCAGCATGGCGCCCGCAGCTGCAGGAGCACTGAGCATGCTGGGCGCAGCGCCTGCTTTCGCGGACAAGATCGACGACGCAGCAAACGTGCTGTCCGAGAAGTCTTATCCCTTCTTGAAAGAAATCGACTGGACCTCCGACGTCTATGGCAAGCTCCCCACCCAGCCTCCTCTGGAGGTGCTCAAGGCCATCAACACGATGTTGAAGATGGGTGCGTCCATGGACTCCGCAGCTCTGAAATCGGGTGCTCTGGCTCACAGCCAGGCCATTGCCAACATGGACTCCAAGGGTGTCGCGACTCTTGCCGATTATACTGCCATTAATGCGGCCATCGGGCATATGATCGCTTCGGTGCCAGCATCCCAGACCATGGACGTGTACAATGCCTTCAACAAGTTCAACCTTGGCAAAGATGTGGGCCCTTACATGATGTCCAAGGTAGATGCGGCGGATGCCAAGGCCGCTTACCAGGCATTGATGGACTTCAAGGATGTGGTCAAGGCGTCCCAGCGCTGAGCCTTCTTTTGATCCTCTTGAACATCGAGTCGTGCAGGAATGAGCGCGGCGGCGCCCATCCGATTTAAAGACTTGGTTTGATTTTGTTGCATATTTTCTTAAGGGCCCACTGGGCCCACCGAGCTCTTGCCCGTGGCTGGCAGTCAGCCGCGACACGTGCGCGACATCTTTACACTTGCCGGCAGAAAGGCTCGAGTCTCTCGTTCAGCGCGTAGCAGAGGCCGCCCAGCGAAAGCGGTGTGTCCCTGAAAGCAAAAAACCATGCCGGAAGCCCCAGAGACCCAGACAGACCCAGCAGAACTCCCCTCCGAAACAAAACAAAAACAGTCCAGACACGGGTCTCCTCAGGGCGCGGCGTCCACCGGCGAGACTCTCTGAAGGCAGGGCGGCAGGGAGATGGATTGGACTCCTGAGCGGTTTCTTAGCTTTTTTTGCGAATGTTGGGGCTGTTGCGAGGGTTTTGAGATCATTTGCAGCTTTGGAGGGGCTTGGGGGTCTTGAGTTTTGCGTGCATGCGGAGGTTTCGCGATGTTTTCCTCAGCTTTAGGTTTCAACTCACAGAATCTCGCTGCTCCGAAAACGGATCCGCAGCGATGTAGGAGCCAACTGATACAGTAGGTGTGTTCCCTTGCTCCTGCAGAGTGGCTATATGCCTATGCGGCTATATACGGGGCCAAAGACCCAGACAGGCCCAGCAGACCCCCCTCCCTCCAAAGAAAAAACATTCCACACACAGGTCTCCTCCGGGCGCGGCGTCCCAAAGGCGAAAGAACTTCAAGCCTCACTGAAGGCAGGGAGATG